ATCATCTGCAGTGAATGGGTGCCATCAGAATGAGAGTCCAAACAGCTGATAAAAACATCACTATAATCCACAAGAAACCCACACGACTCCAGTCCATCAATTAACGTCTTATGAAGTGAAAAGCTGCATGTTTGTAACAAACAAATCCATCAAGACATTTTTAACTTCAAACCATCGCTTCCGGCTCAAAGTCCTCTATCCTTAATATTGCTTTCTCCAGTAAAAAAATGTTGTTTGAAATATGCAAAATATGAGAAATATGCACAGATCAAGCATTTTACAAGTGAAAACAATCCAAAACAGTTCTAAAGAAACCTGTCAGTGCATTTAGATGAGAGGACAACAGTGGATTGATTTTTTTTATATTTGGATTTGTTTTTTACAAACATGCAGCTTTTCACTTTACAAGGGCCGTGTGGATTACTTGTGGATTATTGTGATGTTTTTATCAGCTGTTTGGACTCTCATTCTGACGGCACCCATTCACTGCAGAGGATCCATTGGTGAGTAAGTGATGTAATGTTTCAATTTTTCAAAACTGTTTCAGTGAAGAAACAAACTCATCTTCATCTGGGATGGCCTGAGGGTGAGCATATGTTCATCAAATTTTCATTTTTGGGTGGACTATTTCTTTAAAAACTTTATATTTTAACATCTCTGAATCAGGTTCTGGGCACTGCCATGCTGTTGCTGTGTCTGATGGCTCTGGCAGACCAGAGAAACCAGCCGGTCCTGCCTGGAGGTGAGCCTGTGGGTGTGGGGCTCCTGGTGCTCCTCATTGGTGTCTCTCTGGGGAGCAACAGCGGCTATGCCATCAATCCAACACGAGATCTAGGGCCGAGAGTCTTCACACTGATGGCAGGTTGGGGCATGGAGGTTTTCAGGTGAATAAATACAAAATCAAGCTATGAAACTCTTTAACGTGTGTATTTCAGTCAGGGTTAATGATTTGTAACACCTCGTTTTTTTTTCAGTCACTACCCCTGTAACTTGTGGTTTGAATTCCTGATATGCCTGACTTGAAACCTTTCATTATGTTTTGCTGAAAAGTTGATAACAGGAATAGTCACAATTATCAAATCAGATCTGTAACTGGAAAATATTTTCAGTAGCATGTCTGACCTGAACTTGGTAAATGATTTACTATAACTCAAAATAAAGTTATGTACTTCAATAATTATAAATGTTTCAATGTAATAAATAAAATAAAACATAAAAAATAAAATAATAATGTAGTATTAAAATAAATAGCATAATGATATGAATAACATATATATATATTTTTTACATTACTTAATCATACATTGATTAAGAACTGAAACCATTCATTATGATTTTGCTCAAAAGCTGACAATAGAAAAAAAATCACAATTATCAGATCAGATCTGTAAAAGGAAAAAAATATATATTTTAAGTACTATGCTTGAACTTGAGGCATTATTTACTATTACCATAATTTCATGTAAAAATAAAATTATTTTAAAATAGTTTAAAGTAACTAAACATAGTAATTAAATAAAAATAAAAATGATCTATTACTTTTACATCATTATTCAAATTATTTAAAAAGAAAAATAATACATAATGCCAAAATGCATACCACCGTATCATTTATTGTTTTAATTTTACATTATTACTTATTTAAATCAACTTATTATTTATCGACTTTAGTAACATAACAGCATAATTTGATTAAATATAATTCAAGTGTTGTCTCAACTTATTTACAGGGCCGGCAATGGCTGGTGGTGGGTACCTTTGGTGGCCCCCTTTATTGGTGGAGTGACTGGGGCTTTAATCTACGAAGCATTTGTAGAGCTACACCACCCTGATCTTAAGAGCACTAAGACACAGTCTGCAGAAGATCCTGAATGTGTTCCTCTGGAAAAGTGCAAGAATAGCAGTACAGAGATGTCTGTCTGAGAGTTTCACTCGCAGACCTGCTTAATTTAAGGACCAAGGATAATACAGGGACCAAAGAAGAAAACAGACATTTCCACTGGGGACACCTGGATGTTTACAGGCATAACATGAGACATGGATGCCAGTCGAAAAGCCTATGGGTTGCATTTCTCAAGCCAACTTTTTCAGTCTAGTGTGTACTAATAACTTCTGGGTTATAGAGGAATAAGCTATTGATGAATCTCAGGATTGTTCCATCTTTGATCTTTAATAAATATTGTGTACATATACAGACTCGTGGGCATCAACAGATGAAATTAAGCAGCTTGCGTGAGGTTAAATGCCCAGCATGAGCATAAAGTACAATCAACATGCCTGTATGAGAACATTCCATGGGCATTTTTTGGGACACTGGGGTCATCGTTTAGTCACACTGTGTCTCCCTGAGACTCCCTGTGCTTTTGCTGTGCTCCCGCCGCTCGCTGGGACCTGTGCTGCCTGCTTCTTCTTGGGAGTGGGTGGCTTGGCCTTGCCACGGAACGCCTTGGCTGGGTCCAGTTTGTTCAGTAGAGGTTCACCGGCCGTATCAGAATGAGAGTCACCATGGAACGTCAGGGGTTGGTAGAGGGCGGCCCATTGCTTCATCAAGGAAATCAAAGGAGAGTTTTAAATCAGTTTGTAGCAGTAGATTACATACTGAAACTGTGCACATACACACCATTTAAAAGTTTGGGGTCAGTAAGAGTTTTTTTTTTTTAAAGAATTAATATTTTTATTCAGCAAGGACACATTCAAATTGATAAAAAGTGACAGTAAAGACATTTGTATGGTTACAATAGATTTATATTTGAAATAAATGCTGTTCTTTTCATGGGTTAGCATATTAGAATGATTTCTGAAGGATCATGTGACACTAAAGACTGAAGTAATGAATTCTAAACATTCAGCTTTGCCATCACACAAATAAATTACATTTTAAAATATATTAAAATAGAAAATACTTATTTTAAATATTGTATTAATATTTCACTATATTACTGTTTTTACTCTATTTTTTCTACAAAAAGAAATCAGCACTGGTGAGCATAAGAGACTTCAAATATATATATATGATATAAATAAAATATCCATAATAAAATAAGCCAAAAGAAGCCAAAGTCAACAGTTTTTAACAGAAAAAATATACATATCTACTTTAATTTAATTTGTTCTGGCTGTAAAAAAAAAAAAAAAAAATCAAAATTTTGTATCAATATATATTGTATCTGAATATAAATGTGTTAAAAGAATAAATGTATAAAAATATAAATGTTTTAAAACATTGTATAGATATGAATAAAATAAAAAATACTAAAAATAGTCACTCAAATCTTCTGTTTAGATAGAGCTGAATAGATAATGCTGACCTTAGCTTGTGGGCTGGGGCCATACGGAGTGAAATTATACTGCCACTCCGGCAGCCCCAGATGAGTGATCATAAGCCGGTAGTAGGCAGTGAAGGAAGGGGTGAGATAGTGCCAGAAAAGTGATCGGTCCAAGAACCACACCTCACACTGCTGGGCCATTACACCTACACAGAACGGGCCAGCAGACACAGGGCCAGATGGTAAATTAAAATGATATGAAACCTTTTTGTATGCCATCTCTTTATATCTTTCTGGATTCATTGTGGGATGCATAATCACCTGAAGTGCAATTCTTGTAAACAAGGCAAACTTTGCCATTACCATTGCAGGGGTCCAGCTCAAAGATGCGGCTACGAGAATCAAAATGAGGTTTTTCAGGGCCATCTGATTCTAAAAACAGAAAAGACTCTTAGGTACAAATTTTAAAAATCAGATGTATAATTCATGCAAATTTTACATGCATTAAATTTTGGCATGCAAAGACATTACGCTATACCAGAAAAATGCCTAAAGATGTAAGAAAATATCACCCTCTAAGTCATCATCGAAGTCTAGATCAGCTAAAGTAGGTGCATTGGGGAGGGAATATACATTTGACTGAATCAGGGGGCGTAACTGAGCAACACTGCTGATCATCATGCAACCCACTGGAACCACTTCATCTGTAAGACACAAAGCATATAAATTTACTCAATTTTTTTTTAAGCTTAACTACAATATGGAATCAGAAAATTATGTGAAGGAAAACACTGATCAGATTTGAAGAAGCAGCATAATAGGGATACATTATTAAACACCATCGTTTACAGTTGATCCAAACTATAATGGGTTTAAGAGATCAGTGCATGTTTAAGGGTGCTCACCTTCCAGCTTGTTGTTCCAGGCAAGCATGAAGCCATCTGTTGTGAGATAGAAATCTCTTAGATCTTCCGGCAAAGCACAGTTGTTTTTCTGGCAAACACAGGAAAAGCACACCTGATGTAAACATACCCAGCTTTGCTTTGAGAATCTTCTCTGGTAAACTGAAATTCCTCCATACCTGCTCCCAGGAGAGAAGGCATCGCTTTTCTGCAGGGGGTTTCTCTACAAATCGTACATCCAGCACACCTGGGAGGTTCTCTGTCAAACACATGAATGCAATGCACATATACGCGTAAGCAAAAATAATAAATCAACCATTAAATAAGAAATTAATCTCAGTTTGGGCATTGATAATTGACCTGGTTTGCATGAGCAACTTTAACGAAGAAAACAAACATATTTATCCACCCTAAAAGGTGCTTTGTTTGTTGCTCTTGGCTGGCCTCCCATCCTGACCACCTAAAACCAAAACAACCCGGGAGACCATGCAGCCTAGGATGCGGTTTATAATTAATAATATTAAGCATTGTCCACTCACCCAAAACCCGAATAATACCGAGGGTGAGTCTGTCTACAAACCCCTTGCATGTCTTGTCATCTTTTACCTCCTCCATTCCAAAATAACACAAATACTTCTATGCCATTGATTCGCGTGCTGCATTGTCACACCGACGGATGCTGCTGAGGTTACCAAGCGCGCAGAACCAAAACACTGAGGTTCTCCTCTTCTATTGGCTGAGAATATGACAGATGAGTAATTTGACCAATAGTATCCTAGATAGACGGGTGCGGCAAGTGAATGTTATCCAATGACACTCACCAGAGATGAAAAAGAGGAGGAGCTCCTGCGCATAATCTGGAAGTGGCGGTTGTTTCAGTATGGCGTCTGTTGCTGAGGGCGCAAATGGCAATGGATTTTACTGGATTCATGACAGTATCCTTACATTTTTTTTCGTGTTTTTGTTCAATGAGTCTGTTTAAATTAGTTATATTATTATGATTTAGCAAGCATTAAAGGTCAACCGTGTACCGTGGTCTGTGTTTATGAGAGAAGGGAGGCTAATAGCTTATTAGCGGATTTTCATTGTCAGCTTAACCGAACTCTAGTTTTAGTACATAAAGCTGCAGTTGTCGTGACAATACATTTACTGTACTGAATTTAATTAATTTTATTAGAAAGAAACGTAGTGCAGTGGAACTGTAAGCGTTTTTCAATGTAACGTTACAAGTATACTTCTCTGAAATGTACTAGACAATAATATACTGCTTCAGTACTACAGTAAAATGCGTAAACATACATAACAATGCATTACAGTAGTATCACATAAGCCTAACTACCACTTAACATTTTACCACGTATATTGGAGTAATTCTGGATTAATGCTGCAGTCTTATTCTCTTCAATATTTTTAGACCGTTAGCTGATAGACTTATTTTTTATAGTAGGCATGTTGTGTTTTCTTTAACTTGCTTAGAATCAGATGAAGAGCAGCCCATGGTTTTTATTACAGGTGAGACTTGGATTTATGTCATTTTCAATGTTTTAGACTGATACTGTCAAATACTAAAATATCACGACTTGTTCATCATTCTGACAACTCATGTTTGACATTTCAAAACTGTCACTCCCATCCTCTCTTAGGGATGAGCAAGAATGCCGGTCTGAAGGTTGGGTCTGCAAATAATACAGAGGGAAAGATAAAAAGAAGAGCTAGCGGCATGGATAAAAGTAGGAAAATAACAGGATTGCATTCAGCAGTGCAAAGTGCTGAGATGATGGTGGGTAAAGCTTCAGATCAGAAGCTGCCTTCTGTTGTAGCCAAATCCAAAACCACTACACCTGCACCAGAACCGGACCTGCCTTCTCTCACTTTAGCTCAGGTAGGCATTGAAAAATTAATATTTACAGCGTATGTGAGGTGAAGTGCCTCAGTTGTCTGCAGGGATGCAAACTTGTCATCATTTGCCAATTATCGTTGTCTTGAAATAAAAACAACAATGCCAGTGTGGCATGACACAGCTGAAGTAGAGACTGTATATACTTATGCTAAAATCAAATGAAAATCCACATTTTAAAACTGACATTTAAAATCTAATCATCTAATCATGTAACATACATTGCAATCAAAAGTTTATTCTGTACTATTGCTATTTTCCACATGTTAAATAATACACTTTTAAAAACTATGAAACTATGAAGCCAAATGATGGTATGAAAATTATGTAGTGAGTAGTGACCAAAATATGTTTAATAAATTCAGAAATATCTATTATTTGACCTATAATTGAATGTATGTTGGACACTTTTTGACTGATTTTTCTTCAATGTCCACTCCAGCAACAACTTAAAAATAGCTAATTAAAATAAATGTAGGAATTCATTTTGTATTATATTTGTCTACATTTTTTTATCTGTCCGGCCTTTAGATCAAAAGTTTTTTGAACTCACTAGAAACAGGCAAGTGTGTCTGAATTATTGAATTGCTTTAGATTTCAGACATTTTGTGCATAAAATTTTGGGTACCCCTGAAACCAGCTTAATAATTAATTGCTTCAATAAGACAGATCAACAGGTCAACTAGTAGATTTAGACAATGTGTTGTTTTGCATATACTCTTGTTATGTTAATATTTGCATATGCAATTTTGTCTTTATCGAACATCACCTTGCATGAACTGATATTTCCTTCAGGAAGTGCTAATTCTCTTTGGCAGTCGTTAATTCACATGGTTATTTTTAGGAGGTACTAAGAATATAACCAGTTTTGTTCATTTGATTTGTACATAAAATCTTCAGAAATGTGTGTTTTATAGATGTGTGGAAATAAAATTTAAAAGTGTCTGTTCTGGACTGTAGCCTCTCTTCAGCGCTGCTCAAGCCAAAAGTAAGCCATCATTGAAGGATCTCTGCCCAGAGGACAAGCGTCGGATTGCCAATCTCATCCAGGAGCTGGCCAGGTAAAGCCTTCTCATTATAGTGATCTGATACTTTTTAGACTGAATGAATGATTACAGTAGCCCTCAAGCCAATGTGATTTTCTGTGCATGGTTATACAGCTGTGTATCTGATCTGTTTTGTCTGTGTTTCTTTTCAGAGTTAGTGAAGAAAAAGATGAGTCTGTTCAGAAACTCAGGGATGAACAAGAGACGTTTGAGAAAAAAATCCAACAGCTAGAGCAACAAAACCAACTCATCATACAAGAAAGAGAAAGTATCCTTTTACACCAAGTACAAGCTTCCCGGTAAGAATGTTCTGGTCGAGTTTAAGTTTTAGGCTTTGCTTTCGTGTAAATTAAATGCTGTCATCAATCGCGCCAAATTAACACTGATTACATTTTAATGGCAAACAATTTATAAATGTGGGAAATTTTCAGGGATCATACACATTTATGGTTATGTGAGTTTCAAATTATTTGATTAATACACTACTGTTCAAAAGTCCTCTTGTGCTCACCATGGCTACATTTATTTGATTAAAAATACAGTAAAACAGTAATATTGTGAGACATTATTAGAATTTAAAATAGCTGTTTTCTATTTTAATATTTTTAAATGTATTAATTTGATGGCAAAGCTGAATTTTCAGCAGCCATTACTCCAATCACATAATCTTTCAGAAATCATTCTAATAAGCTGATTGCTCCAGAAACATCTTTTATTATTTTTAAGGTTGAAACCATTTGTGCTGCTTAATATTTTTGTGGAAAAAATGGTGAATAGCATTTATTTGAAATAGAAGTCTTTTGTAACATTATAAATGTCTTTGCTGTCACTTTTGATCAATTTAATGCGTCCTCACTGGATAAAAGTATTAATTCCTTTAAAAAAATCTTACTGATACTTTTGAATGGTAGTGTAATTTGTATGGCAGGGAATGGTAGTGTAATTTGAATGGCAGGGTAATTCACAATGTGTTGACTCATACCAGTCTGAAGAAGGTGAAGGACTGCTTTGTAAATTAGACTGACAGGGGGCAGTGTTGTCTAAGCATGGGATCTGTGTTCAGTTTCGTCGTGACTGGTGTAGGGGCAATATAACCCACAGGACGTCATTGAGACGATTTTTGAATTACATTTGAAGGAGTGAACATTCACTTTCTTTGGCATTATGTGCCACATTGGACGACACTAATATTGAATCTTTTCATTGAAGATGAAATAGACTTTATTTGCAGCAGTGATTGTGTGAAATGTAACAGACAAATGAACAAGGAGCATTCACACTGTTACGTTTAATATTTACTATTTTAGATGCCAGTTTTTGAGCTCAGGGACCAAACCCGTCCTTGGTTTGGGTTGAAATGCTTTTAATTTTCGTTTGAAATTGAAAGAGCTGGCACCAATTACACGACCACTGGGAACGGTGTGGGTTTCTTCTCATGCCAACCTGTCATCCGACTGGCACATCACAAACTTCGCACAGTTTGGATGCTTCCTTTTTTTCCTTGTGGTTCTGCCAGCTTTGGTGATCTTGCTCTGGTCAAAAGACATGGCGAACCATCAGTTTCACCCAACACTGTGAAATACGAAGAGCAATCGCAGGCTGCTAAATTGCAGATTTGGCAGGCGAGCTCAGAAATTAGGCAAGCTCAACTCAATTAAATGCACTTTGGCTCCACGGCCTGGCATTTCCACTAAAATTCAAAACTCCATTAAAAAGAGATTGTAGTGCAAGACAAACTCTATGAAAGCCCCCTGCGGAGACAGGATGGTCTCTAAAGGTATCAGACAGATGCTGGCCCACTGAGCTGTTCTTAAAGGGTAAGAAGGGTGCAAAAAGACAAACTGAGTTATGAGGGTCTGTGTAGAATAATTGCTCGCATCGTCTCCATCTCATCTGCCAGGATTGCGATTATCAAGAGGAAATATCCCCGTCGGAGGGGGGAAAAATTACAAGTTACATTCTGTGTGTAGGAAGAATTTGAAGCTCATGTACAGAATGAAATTAGAATTTTCTCAAGCCTGTCTTTGGCATTCTACACCACGTCTCTGAGCGGTAGATTCTATTACAGAGAAACTCGCAATCTTTGTTCTTCACAAGGAATTCACATCAAGACGCAGAAGAAGTTGAATGCATTCATCAATATCATTAATCTTATTGAAGTTTGCATGGTCGTTTTTCCGAACGCCGCGGATGGATCAGAGGAGCACAAGTCCTTTTGTAATAGTTTGTTTGACTAGTTCTGGATCCGTGCATCCCAGCGGGATGAGCTTAGGTGGGGTTTAGACCCTCACAGAAATGCCACTTAATCACAAACCCACTGCTCGCATATTGTTTATGACCAATTAGTTTTGTAGACACACTAATAATTGGAAGTAATAAACCACATGCTCGCAGCAAATAAAAGTCTCACGATATATAAATAATCAAATCATCAGTGGCTTGGTGAGTCACTTTCGCTGTTATTTAAATCGAAGCGTGCGGTCGTGTGAACTGTCCTCCTATCGATTTACATCTCAACCTACACACGCAGACCATCCGGCCGAGAGGCCCCGTAAAATATTCTCCTCGGCACAATTTTGTTCTACCTCGAGGTGGATTTCATTATTTTATTTCTGCGCCGGCTGACAGGGGAGTGAATCATGTTGACAGCGGCTGTCTGAAATATCGAATGCAAACTCTGATTTTGTGTATTTTTGGACGGGGGGTGGAGACGCACCATGCCTGCAGCTTTCTTTTCTCCTGATGTAGGCCCTCGGAATGAGCTCTGATTGGCCGGCAGCCAACAGAGGTGCCTGCGCTGCAGGCGGGAGAGAATCTTATCAGTCCCGCTCCAGTCGCTCCAGATTACCAGGCGCTGAGCGTTCCCGCACGCCCTTCTGTTAATGTATTAATATGTGTGTTTACGCCCAACCTGTCTATCGGAGTATCAGAAGCCTCTCGTCAGCTGCGAGGTAGATGCCTGCATGCGATGTGCTCTATCTATGAGACGGGCTCTCCGTTCTCATTACAAATGAGAGGTCTATTTATGGTAAGAGTCCTTGTTGAACAGTTACTCATTTCATACCTGCTATTACACAGTGGTTTGACATCCAGCTGTCATGAAAAGGACAGTGTTTGTTGGCAGCTCAGGATTTGATATCCCCTTGAATCATTTCATTTTAGACAGTCCGTGATCTTGAATGAGCTACAGTAATAAACCAGATGAATTTAGCTTAGATATTTCCACCTACGGTACATCCTTAACAAGGACTTAACAGTCAGTTTAAGTCATTGAACCTACTTTTTGTGATCTGAACGTCTACATTTACATTTAGTAATTTCGCAGACGCTTCTATCCAAAGCAACTTACAAATGAGGACAATAGAAGCAAACAAACCAACAAAAGAGCAATAATATGTAAGTGCTGTGACAAGTCCCGGTTAGTCTTTTTTTTTGTAAATAATAAATAAAAAGAAAACAAGTAGATAGAATAAGAATAGAGAACGCTTCTGTTAGAGGGTCATTTTTTAAATAAATAAAAGTAGGTAGAATAGAAATAGAATAAAAAGTGCTAGTGTTAGAGGGTTACGTTTATAAATATATATATACCGTATTGGCCCGAATATAAGACGACCCCCCTTTTTCCAGATGTACCTTTTGGAAAAAGGCTTTTTAAAAACCAAATCTTGTTTTTTCTCAGTAAAACACATTTTGTCTTCAATTATTTTCATATTGCATATTGTCCTTTTTTAATTTTTGTTTTGAAAGTATGGTAAAAACTGGTAAAATGTACCAACAATCACATTTAAAAAATATACACTTTTTGATATACCATTAAAAAAAAAAAAAAAAAAACAGGTAGCCCATCTGAATTAGGACATTTAGGCTATCCATCTAATAGTAGCCTACCAAAATCTTATTAACAGTAGAAGTTAAATCTTACTGTAGTCTTCAAATCTGGGTACTGTCTTACGTTTTAAAATCACAAAGGGAGTTTGGTCCCATCAGGCTAACGTGACAGTCACGACTCATGCAGCTGTAAGGTTTTCTTTTTCTTTT